CTGTGTATTATAGTAGAATATAATTTTTAGTTTTTTCAGTCATGTAATTGCATCTGACAGTTACAGTACAGTTGCCACCGCTGCTTTTAGGGTGTGAGGGTCGGCCCGAGGTTAGGGGTGCACGGAGCATTACCCAGTGCCCGATTTTGTGTAACGATAAGTGGCTTCATTTCACCCAATGACAGGTTCCCTTTGCCAGCGTCCATGTTGGATCTGCTGGTAAGTGACCCCCAATAATGGCGTCTCCTGTCCGCGTGCCGCAGTGATCAGCAGATAGGGGAAGCGCGGCCTGTTTTTTTGCGATCGCGGCGGAATCGTTTCTGGTATGAAATGTACTTTTTGGTTTGCGGTTTCCTGATTTTCATGCCGCGGCCGGCCTTGTGCCAGGCAGTGCAATCAGCACCCTTTGCTGAACAGCGGCTGAGCCTTCAGAATAAGCCAGCAATTGGTTCCTAAAAGACCGATAGACGTGTGCTGAGGGAGGAGCAGCAAGGCGCAGTCACTACGCCGCACGCCCCAGGTGTGTGACTGTCCTGTGTCATTAAAAGCTATAAATAGAACGTGTTCTGTAAGAACCGCGACACAGATAATGGGATTTGTTCAGCTTATTACATTCACCCGCAAGCCCTGCTCCGGGGGCAGGCAAGCTCAGCACTCCAAATCCCATCACGCCTCTGCGAGTCATGCCTGTGGCTGCCAGTCTTGCAATGCCTCATGGGACTTGTAGTTCCACAGCCGCTGAAGTGCTAAGGTTGCCTTCCCCTATGCAGACTCTACAAATCCCATCTTACCTCTGGGAGTCATGCCTGTGGCTGCCAGAGTCTTGCAATGCCTCCTGGGACTTGTAGTTCCACAGCCGCTGAAGTGCTAAGGTTGCCTAACCCTATGCAGACACTACAAATCCCATCATGCTTCTGCCTGTGGGAGTCATGCCTGTGGCTGCCAGAGTCTTGCAATGCCTCCTGGGACTTGTAGTTCCACGGCAGCTGGAGTGCTAAGGTTGCCTTCCCCTGCACTAGGCTATGCAGACACTACAAATCTCATCTTGCCTCTGCCTCAGGGAGTCATGCCTGTGGCTGCCAGTGTCTTGCAATGCCTCCTGGGACTTGTAGTTCCACAGCAGCTGAAGGGCCGAGGTGGTTCTCCCTGAGCCATGGTTTCCATGCACTGCTCTGATGATGGCCAACAAAGCCTGAAACAGCTCTGTGCGGTTCGGAATGAACGGCTCCACAATATGGCAGCGTTGTGAAGTACGGCTTCTGAGTGTGAAGTTGCCCCGGGGCAAGACAAAGGATGTAGTTAATTGGCTCCACCCACTTTTCTAAAATGTGGAATAAGCTCCTTATTAGAGGCTTTGCTGATTTTGGGAAAGGGGGGGGGGGTTGGGGTGATGGTTTATTTATCTATATAACTATAGACCGTCTTGGCATTCAGAAGATAAATGTCTGGCTGGAGATTGGCTTCAAAACGTATCTCCAGCCGAAATTTGTGTGTTTTTTAATTTTGGGTGGAGAGGAGAAGAATCGGAACCTTTGTTGGGTTTTTACTGCCACCCAGAGCTCCGTTAGGGAGCTTTCCCCTCACTTCCTGTCCTGCTGACAACAGCTGTACCAGACAGGAAGTGAGGAGAAATCTGCAGAGGGACACAGACTAAAATAAAAGGCTGACAAGGGTTCTTCTACTAGAGCAGTGGTGGGGAACCTTGGCACTCCAGCTGTTTTGGAACTACAAGTCCCATGAGGCATTGCAAGGCTCTGACAGCCACAGACATAACTCCCAGAGGCAGATGCATGTTGGGATTTGTAGTTTTGGCGCAGCTAGAGTGTTAAGCCACCACTGTACTAGACCATGCTCCTATCTATCTTCCTGCGCTATGAGAAATGTTCTCTCACTTCCTGTCTGGTAAAACCATTGGGCTCCCAATCATGTGACAGCCAAACACAGCGATCACATGATCAGGAAGCCCGGCCTCCGCTTAAGAGCCCCTTAATGCAGGGGCCGGGCAAACTCTGACCCTCCAGCTGTGGTGACGTGACAAATCCCAACATGCACCTACCTCTTAGAGTCATGCCTGTGGCTGCCAGAGTCTTGCAGTGCCTCATGGGACTTGTAGTTCCGCAGCAGCTGGAGGGGCCAGAGTTTGCCCACGTCTGCCTTAAAGGGCCGGGGGCCAAGGGGTAAACGGGTTCATTTTGTGTAATTGGGAGTGCCGGTGGTTACATATTTGCTACTGACATGTACAGTGGTACCATTTGTTTTACACTAATTGCCCCTTTTGTAAGGTCCCGGAGCCGTCCAGCGTGGCCCCTCCGCAGACACCACAGAGACGCCGCCATACACACGTCTGCTAAACTTCCACTCCATCTGTAGAACATTGTGTTATCATTCAGTACCTAATAGGGGAAATGGGAGGAGCCCAGAGCGCCACCTGCTGGCTGAATATAGACATTACAATATTTCCCGGCTTTGTTGGATATTGTACCGGAATAAAAAAAAAAGACAATTGTTTTTTTTGTTGTTGTTTTTTTAAAGTGCAGCTGAAGCCAAAACTTCTTCTTCTTTTTTTTTTTTTAAGATTTGGATAGAACAGAGAGGGATTAGAATCCCCTGCCAGGTTTATATTGCTGTCTCTTAGTTCCCGTTCATACCTGTCGCTCAAAGCAACCTGTCGTTCCCGTTCATACCTGTCGCTCTGTCGCACAGCAAAATAGGGCTGCAGCCGATCATTATTTTCATAATCAATTAGTTGGCCGATTTATTAACTTCGATTAATCAGATTAAAAAAATTAATAACGTCATTTATTTAAAATACACAAATGCAGCATTACAGACATAAAGTTTATTTCGGAATAAAACGGTGTGCACGTTTTTATATACATTTTTTTTAAATGATAATTGTATGTATTATATTAGACATTTTAATTGGTTTCATGGATGTAAAATCATGTGAATTGTAAAACTCTAAGCCAATATAATAAAATAACCAACCTTTTATTTAAAATAACACACCAAAAAAAAAATTCTAATTTTTAATTTCAGTTTAGGATTTATCATTTTTATTTATTTTACTTTTCTTAACTTTATTTCCCCCCCCCCCCCC